AAGTTTCTCCTCTCATTGCCTAAGGTCACTTGACTTCTTGTTCATTTTCCCCATCTGTAAAATGGGGCAAATAATAATTAGAAACTACTACACAATGTTATAGAAATTATTCCATTCATATCTGTACAGTTCTTTGAAGACACAAACAAAGTGCCAAGCATTATTACTAGATGATGAAATTATATCTTTTCTCCCTCAAGCTATATCGGGGGAAAAAAAAAAGCCATGCAAACAGCCAACTGTATTCCTAATGAGATGCAATACTCAAAAAGTGGGACATCTTAAAACAGATTGGACAATCTTTTTCCAGCTCACAAAAATTATTCCCAATACATAAACCTCACAAGGTTATAAATGCAAGAAAAGAAACATATCATTTGCCCAGGTTTCTGCAGACAAAAATAAGCTTTCCTCACAGGGAAAACGTACATTCTCAGTCTTGGAGAGCGCAAAAAGAACTTCTCAGAGAAGTAAGGGAAGAAATCAAATGAGATTTGAAAGCTTTGTGGGGGATGAATTTATGTTTTCTGAATATAAAGTGACTGTCAGGACAGGGAAAGTCAATTAAATAAAAAGGACTGGGTAGGAGGGAGGCAGGGAAAAGCAGTGTGCAACAGGGAGGTCACATGCTAGATAAACAGGGCAGTATGCTAACTATTTACAGATAAATACAACTCCTCCTCTCTGCAGAGATTTATGTATATTAGAGAGCCACCATCAGTACTGTGGGTGAGCATAACATTAAGTTACATTAACATTACCCAAACCACATCACATAAACTGCGAAGAGCAAAAGCATAATAACATACTGCTTTCTGCAAGCAGCAATATTGTCTCTTAGAAGAAAGGGAGGAAAAAAACAGCAGAAAAATCCTCCCTCCTTCCATCCCCACCAAAGCCTGCCAGGGTGGCACTCTCCTTCCCCATCCTCTCCAGTCCAAGGACCATAGCTCCGCTGCTGGGCTTACATGGGACAGGAGGTGTCATTCACACAAGAGAAATGCTAACTCAAAAATAAACAAACAGATCTGCGGTTTAAACTCTTACCGAACCCAGTGGCAAGTCAGGTCCAAACTGGCCTTCCACCAGTATCCTCATGCCATTTAATGTCCTAATACTGCTCCGACAACACACTGGGTTATGGCGGGGGGGGATAGAGGGGGTGGGGTGTCCAGGCAAGAGGAAGGCACCACATTTCCCACAAATGAGGAATTTTACCTTGCAGGGGATCCTTTGCTGTGCAGCAGTCTTGAGTAACACATCAACGTGAAGGCAATACCCCCGCCCTACGCACCCCGAAGCTGCGGCATGAATGGTGCCGGCCCCCATGCCTGCCCCACGCCCGTGCCCTGGCCCCCATGGGCCTCTGCCCCATGCCTGCCCCGGCATGCACACCACAACCCCTCTGCTCCAGCAGCCAGGCAGGAACGGGACCGAGGGGGGCCGCCCCCGGCCCCCAGGGCCCTCTCCCCCATGCCTGCCCCGGCATGCACACCACACCCCCTCTGCTCCAGCAGCCAGGCAGGAACGGGACCGAGGGTGGCCGCAGCACCGCCGTGCCCCGACTGCAGGCAGTGTTACACCTCCCATAAACACACAGAGCAGCCACAGGCTCTGAGGAAACCATTTAAATTATTACTATTCTGAGCACATTTCAGTTTAGTACAACTATTAAAAGCCCAAGAGAAGCTGTGTGTGGGCTAGACCCTGCAGGACAAGTCACCAAGTGCTAATAAACGCAATAATGTGATGTACACAGAAGTAGCCTTGCACTTCTTTCCCTCCCATTATTCAATGTGACATGGGGGGAAAAAAAACCAACCCCAACAAATACTAATTTTTGCCTTTTGCACACAGGCACTGTAACAGGGTGGACTGGGCGGGTGCTATTTCAGTGCTGCATATGCACGCTCCATCTCAGCTTTGGAGACCCAGACTATCTGCCGCCAGCAAGTGCAGACTTTAACTCACAGCAATCCCAAGAACTGGTGGAGCGAGATGAAGAAGTACCTGAAAACCTGTGTGGATTTTGCTAGGGAAGAGCAGCAGCCGCAGGAAGTATGATTGGAGCTAGCTACATGGACATAGCCAGGTTCCTGTGCCTTCATGGCACCACACTAAAGCGGCTCTCTCTGCTAAGGCTTATTTTAAAAGCCTTATTTAGCTTTTCTGTATTATTTACACACACTGCCTTACTGTGGGCCATGGTTGGACTGTCAGCACCATGTTTAACATGGCGTTTGCTAGGGAGGGAACAACGGGATGGGAATCCATGCTTCTACGCTAAATAGAGACAGCAGGCAGAGGCACCAAAACTCCATGCAGAACACATCAGCGTATTCAGTGTGGTGAGATCGGAGCTCAGACAACTGGGCTGAACTTGGGGCAACACAAGGAGAAAGCCCGTGTTCCTCTCCCCTGGCTGGGGGAAGCAGACAGCAGCCTGAAACACAGCCCGCTGCTCCTGTCAGTGTTGAGTCAGGCACGGGGCTTTCTTGCCATCTTGTTAGGAGAGGCTCTTGTTTGTTTGCTTAACGGTGAAAGCAAGCAGCAGCTGAAGAAATCAGCTCCAGCTTTCCGGACCGATTGCTGAGGGTGATGGGTCTGACTTGAACAGCATGCCTCCAAATACCAGAAACATGCCAGTACCAGAGCTACGGGAACAGACCGAGGAGGCTGAGCACCTGCTACTACAGCCTAGGATGGACATGGAGACACATCCCTTCCCGGGAGCAACAACACAAGCGACAGGGAAAACAAAGCAGATTTAGGTCCCAAAACCTCTGCTGCTCCTGCCGAGGGGAAACCAGCACAGCATCTGAAGAGAGAAGAGGTAGAGACTTCCAGCAAAGGCAAGACATTTGCACGGTGATGCCAGAAGACTGAAAGCCTCCAAACACACATCCAGCAGAACATGGCTGCCAGCCAATATCAGACTTTTAACAATGTTTTCACAGCCTCCACCAACCCAAATCCAGCTGAAGCGCAGGGCCAGCTGGAGTGTGATCCCAGCAAGTCTGATAAGCAGCAATAAAACTGAAGAAATGTGACCAGGATGGGAGACAATAGGTGATAACTGCTCCTGGAGCCAGCAGACCTCTGATTAAAAACCCAGGGAAAAGCATTTGGCACTGGAGTTTAGGGTTCTTGACAAACAGGGAACAAAACCCACTTCTTTCCAGGTCCGGTGCGAGACCCCGGGCAGCCTGTGAATCCCAGCGAGAGCTCACACACAGTGATTTACTGCGGGAAGGGTTGGAGATCCAAGAAATGGCACTCCAAAGGCTATGGAGAAGGAAAGGGAGGAAGAGGAGGGAAATTACATTTCAAATGAGACACCAGTCCCTGCAGACTGGGGGCCTGCGGCATGGCTCGGGATGCAGGATGGCACTAGGGAGCAGCAATGACCAAAGCCAGGAGAGCCCCAAGCCCTCGCAGCAGCTCACCATCCGTCCCAGGCAGTAAAGGAGGTGCTTGCTGTCCTCTCCAAAGTCCAGTGTCTCTGCTAGCGAACCTGTGCATGCAAGGCAGGCACCCTCTTGGGTCACAGGCTTTTCAGTGTTGTTAGGAACAGCAGCCACTGCTGACCATCTCAGCTGGCCCTGGGGTGACACAGGGAACATCAGGGTGTGCAGGCAGCAGCTGCATGTGGTGTATGGAACAGGAGGGGGATCCAGCCCATCCGCCACAGAAAGCACCAACAAAAAGGCAAAAAGTCCCATCTGGAGTGGGGGGACAGCCTTATGAAGCATGAAGACAGCAGTCGAGAAGAAGCCCAGTACAGCTGTGGGACAGAAGCTGACAGCTGACATAGGCAGACCTTCAGGGGCCCTAGACAGGTGAACAAATAGATGGCCAGAGCCTTATGTAGATGCATCACAGGAAGGGAGGTATGCTTGCTTCTCTGTCAGGCTAACACACACCACCTCAAGGAGGATGGTACAAGCAGATACCACACTCCTCATCCAGTGATAAGACAAGGATGAGGGGTTCGGAGACGAGAGCAGTTGGAGAGCAGCAAGCCAAGATGAAGGATGCAGCATACTAGTAGATGCGGGTCTTGGCAAGCGTTTGTACAAAGTATGAAACAGAGCAACCACATGAGTCAGAAGGAGAGACCCAGCAAGCAGCTGGGACCACAGCAGTGGTGTTACGGGGCGAGCACATCCTGGCTGCGGGGCACATGGCTGAAGTGCAGATGCAGCAACTTGACCCAGCTCTCCACATGAAGAGCTCACTGGAATTTAGGATGCTAAATCATGCTAGATCATACTATAATATCCAGAACAAAGTAGATGAGGGATAACTGTTCCCAAGACAAGACTGCCAGCTCTGACATGCACTAGGCTACTTGGATCAAATCAGTCTAGACTGAATGCAAAATGCTGCTCCTTAAAGCCAACTAAACTGGGCCATTTCCAGGGGGTAATGCAACAGATAGCCTATTTTGTTGAATGCATTTTCACATAAACTTGCCGCAGTAATCTGAAAGCTCTCAGCAGTTCTCTGCACGTTGCCATAGACCTGCCAAGTCAGATTATCAACACACGCACAGGGCAGCTGCATCACGCAGGCATGAGAAGTCCAGTGGGCCTTGTACTGGCGCTGCTTGAGCCCATCATATGCCACACAACAGCTCCAGTGGTCATTTCAGTTTTATCTCTTGGATAATCAAAATACATTTCACTACTCTGCCACAGTCCATATGTTAACTCCAAGGCCACTGCCTTTAAAATGCAGAAAGCCTCCCTGGATCTAAACAGCGGTTCACACTGTGTTAAGTGATGGCTATCCTTCAAAAGATACCAAATAAATGGATGTCTACACAAGCAGAAGCAGCATGACATTCTTCTACAAGTCCTGCTGAAAGCTGTACACAGCATAATTGTAATGACATTTGAAATAAAAGCCTAAAGGAGCTGTTGTGTAAGGTATCAAGCAAAAAACCAGCAGACATGTAGATATTAGACATAAGTGATATGATGGGTTAGATTACTCACCCAGAAGAGCAGATTTAATGCTGATCTTCACTGTTGCTCTTGAGCAAGTACCACTGATCCATATAAACTTCTGACACTGAAGAGAGAGAAATAAAGAATTTAATTAATCACTACAAAGTCTGAGGCAACTAAACAGTGATATCTTATAAAAGTTTATCATCAAGTGACAAAGGATACAGGAAATACAGTGAATGATGTACATAACAGCATTAAAAAACAACCAATAGCAAGAGATTAAGGCATGACAACTGATGTACAAAGGGGAAATGAGCTTGTTTATGCCAAATAATTCCCAGCAACATCATCTCTCAGTATTTCTGCATTACTTGGCCGGCCTATGCCTGCCCTCCACCTTCCCAGATGATCACACATGTACAACACAAAATGAAGAAGGTGAATGATGCCTTGTGAGGCTTCCTTCTCACTATTGCGACCTCCAAAAATCCCAACCAAGCACCCCATGGCATCAAACATCTAGAGATCAGAGCGTAAAGTGAAGCCAGTGGAAATCAGAGCAGCCCATAGCACTGAACTAACCCTACAGCTTGTTCCCAACAGCTACTCCTGAGTCTCTTTACTATGATTATTTTGGGAAATCAAAGAAGTTCTCTCTTACTGTGGTTTGACAGAAAGTTTTAGTCATGGATACTCCCATCTACAGATTGTGGTCAAAATAAGAGCTATTTGGTGTGGCAAGCTTGACAAAGTTGTTCCAGGAGAAGGTTCTGGGTAAACTTTGAATTTGAAATGCAAGAGGGAAGTCTGGGGAATAAAACTCCAGACCAATAACAAAAAACTTTCAAACCTAGGCAATTACATGAGCTCCCACTGGAAGAGACTTAAGAATCAGCAACTCATATATGAGTGCTCAGTGAAATACAGCTGGTACAAGGATTGAAACAACCAAGAACACTCCAGTGTACCCCCACCTGGGACACTGCGATGGCACGCTGAGATGCTGCTCTCCAAATAAAAGTCATGCCAAGAGCAAGAACAGATCTTGCCAAATTAATAGAAGTTTAGGACAAGCAAGCAATGTGATCAGAAAGCAAAGTATCAGCTCAAAAACCCCGGTAGGGCTAAAGAGACACAGACTAACTAGTTGTTGACTTGGGGCAACTGCTAATATTCAGGAGGTGTAAACTGTAACAAGAGGTATAAACCCTAACAGAGAGAATTCAGCCTATGCACGACTGGGAGATGAGCACTGAAAAAAACAAACAAACAAAAAAACAACAATAATTTTCAGATCCAGATACTAAAAAGCTATAATACATGGTCTCAGGGCACACAAATGATTGGGTGCTCATTGCTTCTCAGAACAGTTTTTTAGACTAGATTTAACCAAACCACCAGGGAAAAAAAATTACACAGAACACAAACGATAGGGACATATGAGCCTCTGCTAGCAGACTCCGTCACAAGACTGGGGCTTCAGGCTATTGCAACAGAGTAATTATGTTCTGAGCCCTGCGCAAGGCAGGGAAAAAAAAACATCTGTCAGATGGAAAAAAAAAAAAAAAGAGACAAAATGTGGTAGGTGGGGAAAAAAAAAAACGTTTGAGGTTTCTATAAAGGGTACTGCAGAACGTCATGTACGAACTACAAAGCTAGGGAAAAGAAGTTAGTTAACAGTGTTATTTTAAGTCTGCTTAAAGTAATACCAAGGGCTGAAATGGAAAACCTATAATTAGATGGAGCTTCTCCCCTTCATTCCCAATACTTGACTCCAGCTGAGCCAGGCAAGGCCCACAAATTGACAAGATCTTTGGGATTCCCACTGCCCGGGCTGCCAGGACCCACAGGCAGCAGCCGGGCAGAGGGGAAGGAGATGTGGAACGCAGCGGCTGTGGGATTTCAACGCTACGCCTGCTGCGTGGGGCTGGCCGGCCAGCCAGCCGCCTGCCGTGGCTGCTGGTCTGCCCCTCTTGATGCCTGCTTCAGAGGCAGTCAGCAGCCTCGCCCAAACCTCCTCATCACCTTCTCTGCTGCAGAAAGCATTTCCAGTGCAGGAAAGTCCCAGAAGCTTTTCAGAACAAAGCTCCCTCCCGGCCCTGCCAGGTCTGCCTCCCTCCATCCACGCTGTCTTTAAGGACAGGAGAGTCAGGCTCCCCACCAGTGCAGATCTCAGATTGATTTGCTCTTCCTGGTGTGGGGCGCGGGCAGCAACACAGCTACTCCCAAGCCTCTCGACCATGACTATTTTGGTAAATCAAAGATGTTCTTTGTTACTGTGGTCTGACAGAAAGTTTAGTCATTTCCTCCTCAGCAGTCAGAGCTACACATACACGGCCCACACCTCGGGCAAGCTGTACAGCCGCTCGCTATCTACTGAGGAAGGGAATGCTTGCATGCATTTCTCAAAAGTGAACTAACTGCCTTAGACCCTACTTTGTGAGCTGCCACCACAAGGATTCAGTTTGTTTCAAAGGCTGGTGGGGAAGTGGTCTACATTTCCCCCTTCCTTTCTTTCTCAAACTCAATTTAATTTCTACTAATGAACGTCTCCAGAAATCTCAAGGCTCCCTCTAATCCTACAGCTAAGGAAACCTCTCTTGCATGCCCTCACCTCTGAAGACTGTTTTCAAAAGTAATTCCCACACGGCTGGCTGTGACCTTCACCGCAGTATTCCTCCTGGCCGAACGGAGCACAGGACATAGATCCAAGGGTCTTTACCTTGTGTCCTGCATTAGGACGCCAGGAAGGCTGGCAGCCCCCGGGGAGAAGTCTGGAGCTCAGGGATGCTGGGTGAAAACTGGGACTTCTTGGACTTCTGGGAAAGGGTGGAGTTTTTCTGGTTTAGCTGGAAGGGTAAATTATCATCCAAGAACAGCAACCGAGGAAACAGCTGCATGTGTGATTTACCATCGCACATGATAAATGTGCCACAAAGCCCCCATGGTAGGGCACCCGGGCAGCCAGGCATCTGGGGGATGGGAATTCTCCAGCCTCGACAGCAAGAGCTAAGCTCTCCACAGACACCAAGTTCAATGTAAACACAGTTTCAGTATCGAAAAAACAACCTCCCAGAAAACCACACTCATAATCAAGAGCCAATTTTTAGGAATGATCGTTTAAGAAATGCAGGACTAGGAAACCAAGTGAGATAAAAGTTAATTGCATTTTTGCTTTAGTACAGAGAACAACGCAAATATAGATGACCTAGAGGAACCTTTCCAGTAGGAAAAAACAGCACTGCAAGACAAACATGAAAGAAGAATGTGAAATTTTTTTTGTCCTTTCCAGGCCATAATCTCTTAACCAGGAAGAAAATAGAAATCCTAATCCTACAATCTTGCACATTCAGCAATAATATTTTACCTTGCCAATCAAGGGTTTTCTATAATAGCCACATTTTCAAATAAAAGGAGCACGACTGCTTGCAATTACACACTGTATGAATTTAAACAGGACACAACCCTATGCCTAAAGACCTGAAAAATTCACATGTTGCACTGCATGGCTTACCAGGAAAGCAGCAGCACCATTTCTTTGCTTTGTGCCTACTACAAGCTTTGTTTCAGCAACATTTTTGGAAGAACACAAGAGTACTTCAAGCAAATAATCTGGTTTATGTCTGTTCTTTACTAGATAAAAATAAAGATCTACTTTGCCTTATCGTTTCTGATCAAGAAAAGAAGGGCTTTGCCTTACAAGATCTGAGAGAGCCCCTCCACTCTACTAAAAGCAAAAACGACTCGGTAACACTGGTCCCAAGTGGTCACAGCCCAATTCAAATTACTCCTCTTTCCTACACACTTGCTTCATGTCTATGTGCTGTGTTTCAGTTAAAAAGCTACTATGACATTCTTCCTATATTTTTAAAAGAAAACGGGGAGATACATTCCACAGGCAACAGGACTCAAAGCTTGAATTCAAGTATCTACCACCACCATCTCCAACCCCGAAGCACTACACAAACTAAGCCTCCTACTCACATACGCATGCCTGAATCAAATGTAAGGGCCAGCCCTGCTCAAGATTACCAGGTTTTGTAATCGGTCCATTTACACCTTGAGGATGTGGTCAGACTGGTGGGCAAGTAATTCAGGCAATGGACTTGGGACTTTCAGTACCAAGGTATCCCACAGGAACGAAGGACTGGGGGCAGAAGGGCTGTGGCTGCCAAGGACAGCATCAGCCAGACAGCAAAGCTCAGCCTGCCACAGGGGACTACTAAACAAAGTGGCCATCGTTTCCCAGACAGAGAGTGTTTCCTGAAATCCATGGTGAAGGTTCAGATGAGCCGCTCTGACCTGCAACCGGAGCCGACGCTGCCTGTAACACTGACAGCTCAAAGCAGGCACGGCTGCCTCTCCAGGAAACCTCTGGCAACAGCCGGTGCTTCCTTGGCATTCAGCAGCTCTGCACCCATCCCGACCTCTCGTCCCTTCAGACCAGGGATGCGAAAGCCTCTGCTTTCTCAAGGTAGGATCACTTGGGTCTCTCCTGACAGCCACCTCTTTCCGGAGCTTGGCTGCCAGGAGAAGAGGTGGCAAGAGGCCTCCTCTACCTACCCCTTGTCTGCCACACACACTCCTCAGGGCAACAAAATACGAGCCAGTGCTCACCTTCTTCCAGTCACCACCCACAGCAAGACACCTCTTCCCGAAAGCCTGGCTGCACTTGCAGGAGCTTGGCCAGGCTGTGGCTTCACGCAATGTACACGGGGGCTCCCATGCAGACACAGCTCCTTCTTGTCGAGGCAGGCACAGGCGTCTGCAATCTTAGGCACATAAAACACAGATGCTTTGGCCCTTACCTTTATTTTGGGTTTCTAGAAGGCTGTACATCTTTTGACACAGACAAAAACCACACAGCATCCACATTAACAAACCAATCTGGTTTTGGATATTACTACACTCAAAGCAGAAACCCAAACCAGTACTTGTCCATCCTGCAAGTGCCAGCCTTGACCTTAAAAACCAAGTTCCGATCCAAAACTGAGGGTCTGGCACACACAGAACCCCAAAGCAAAAACTGAAGGGACCTGAGCAAAACCAACCACATCATTAACTCCAGTGACCCAAACAGCTGATATCTTGTACAACAAC